AATTGACTATGATTAGAAGTATCATCATCGTTCTTAAATTATGTCATAAAAATATGGTTTTTTTTGTGTCTTATGTTCTGTTCAAACTTGTATCATCGTTCACATGTTTGAGTCCTATGTTTTGTAAATTCTCTTGGTTTTCTGATTTTGTTAGTTGCTGTTGTAGACTGGATTGGTTATACAGTTCATAAGCTGGACTTGATTGGGACATAGTGATCTGTGGATTGTTTAGCTCTTGTGTCTTTACTTTCCTGTGTTCTAAGTTCTGTTTCTTATTATATTAGTTACTAGTTCTGATTATATAATGTTTGCCTTACATATTTGTTTCATTGTATGATTAGTTACCAAGGTACAATGGGAGATACACAAGATGTGAAAGCTAAAGGTCAATATAAACAATGGTCTGAGCCTGAACACAAGTTGTTATTGCGGCTGCTAGTGGACGCAGTTAATCAAGGTTTTCGTGATGCTAATGGCAAATTCAACAAACTGACGGTGGAAAGAAGAATATTACCATCTCTAAATAAACAGCTTGGAACAAATAAAAGTTACAACGAGTACAAAAATAGGCTCAAGAACTTGAAAGGTAAGTACAATAGCTTGAAAGATTTACTTCGTTTTAGTTCAGGATTTGGGTGGGATCCTGAAACGAAGAAGTTCACAGCTACAGATGAAGTATGGAATGGCTTTTTGGAGGTAAAAACATTATAACATACAACTTTAATATAGCATCGCTGCTTATGTATAAAACTAACCAATACAAATTTTTTAATATATATAGGCTCATCCACTTAAAAAAAATTTACGTGATGATACATTTGAAGATTTTGAGGACTTCAGAATTATATTTGAATCTATTACAGCAAGTGGACAGAATGCTGTGGGTTTAGGCGATCCAATTGATGGAGGTCCTAATCAAATTGGAGACACTGATGCGATAAATGAATCAAGTCGTGTCCAGATGGTGAATGATCTAGAGGGCATACCATACGATGAAAGATCAGTCCATGAAGTTTTCTCTTCACTAGAGAATAGTAGGTTAGAAAAGCTTCCTCCACGTAAGAAAGCTAGAACTGATGCATGTAATTCAAACAAAGCTTCTGATGAAGTGGATACGGTAGAAGAATTTGGTCATCAGATTTTTGGCATGATACAGAGAAGATGGGAAAAGGAAATTGAAGAAAAGGAAGCTGATGACAAAGCTAATAATGTGTGGGATGCTATCAAAGAAATTCCTGATTTGACTGACGATATGCGTTATGAAGCTATGACATTGGTTCACAGTTTAGGTATGAAATTAGGGTTCGTGCATATGTCCATAGAAGAGCGTAGGGGATGGATTATACGAAGCCTTCGTAAACCAAGTGAATGAAGTTTGATGCATCAATATGGAGTGAGGATGGTTTTAGTTTGCATTTTTATTATTACTGAACTTTTTTTTTATGGTTTTGTTGGTTTTTATTGTACTTCATACGTTATGAGTTTTATTTTAACTATATTTTCAATTCATTTTATTTTAACTATATTTTCAATTCATTTTTTCTTTATGTTTAAAAACACATATTTATATACATATATACATACATATATAAATATATATTTAAACCATAAAATATATATATATATATATATATATATAAATATATATATATATAACTCAATAGAACCTACGAGGTTCTAAAAATAATTTGCTGTAGATGTTGGTTACGAACTAAACCCTACGAGATTCTCAAAATAATTTACAATAGCTACGAGGTTCTAAAAAACTTATGGGCTTGATATCTTTTTTCTTAATTAGGGTTAGCTGTAAGGTATATATATACTCATTTTTTTTAGCAGCTTACACAAACACTATACATAAGGTTGTATTTCTTTTCAAGTCAAGGTGAGTTTTTCTATTAATTTACTTTTGCTAATCTCCAAATTATGTTTCAGCTTCTTTTGTCACTTTCATGCGTTTAGAGGATGTTTTTATCCAACGTTTGTCAATTTCAGCTTCTTTTGTCAACGTTTTCTGTTTTGTTCTAACGTTTTTATTTTGTTGTGGTGTTATAATTTTGTTGTTGTGTAGAGTTTTAATGATGGATCGTATTGTACAAGAAAGTGAAGTGATACAAGCTAAAAAAAAAAGAAAAAGAATGAACAGTTTCAGATCAGATGTTGATATAATGTTACTGGTTTTATTTATCATGGCGAAGGTCCGTTATTTTCATCCGCAAATACACCGCCAAATTAGAAAGCCAACTACAAGACTTGGTCATGAATACATACAATATGCGTTAGTTAAAGATCATGAACAATTCCGACGGCTATATCGTATGTATCCAGAACCATTCCTAAAGCTATGCAATATATTTAGAGTGAAGATGGGTTTAAGAGACACAAGAAATGTTTCGGTTGAAGAAATGCTTGCAACGTTTTTGTTCATTGTTGGTCAAAATTCGAGGTATATACATGCTGAAGGTAGATTCGAGAGGTCAAGATTCTCAATAAGCAAGAGCTTCAACACC